GCAGAGTAAATACTGAAGGACTGCTTGTTTCTTTCTGGAAATAGGATCTCACTATATAAAGCTGACTCCCAACTCCAGATCCTCTCAAGTGCTAGGAGTACAGGTTTGTGCTGCTACACCCACCTAATACTCAATATTCACTCAAGTAAATCAAATCTTTTGGGACTACTTACATGATTCCATACATAGAAAATCCAGAGCAGAGAACTCTATTGTAATAAAAAGTCGTGGCTTTTTAGTTGAGGCAGAGGCATTAGGGAAAGGGAGGGATGGCATGGGAAGAATACAAGGTTTTTCTGAGCTGTTCTTTAAAAAAAAAAAAGAAATTGGGGAGTGAGGGAAGGGGTGACATTGTCTAGGACATTGTACTCTTTACCTAACTTATATAACTGTAACCTTTATAATAACAGTAAAAAAAAAAAAAATCGAGCTAGGTGCCAGTAGCTCATGCCTGTCTTAGTAGCTACTCTGGAGGCTGAGATCTAAGGATGGTGATTTGAAGCCAGCTTAGCAGGAAAGTCAGTGAGACTCTTATCTCCAAATAACTATAAGAAGCTAGAAGTGGAGCTGTGACTCAAGCAAAAAAGCTCAGGGACAGCACCCAGCCCCAGAGTTCAAGCCCAGGACTGGAAAAAAAAATCAATTCAGGTGGGTGCCAATGACTCATGCTTATAATCCTAAATATGGGGGAGGCTGAGATCTGAGGATCGTGGTTTAAAGCCAGCCTGAGTAGACCAAACTATGAGACAGTTATCTCCAATTAACCAGGAAAAAGCTGGCCCTGAATCTGGCCTCTTACCATTGGCGATATGGCTCAAGTGGAATAGTGCTGGTCTTGAGCAAAAAAAGCTAAGCAAGAGCATAAGACTGTCAGTTTAAGCCCTGGTATTGGTATGCATGCACACACGTGCATGTACACACACACACATGTAATTGTACAAAGGGATTTCATGGTGATATTTCATATACTCAGATTATGAAAATGTTCTAAGACTGCCCAAAAGTGACTGTTGCACACATCTATGAATACACTAAAATTGGGCTGCACACATTGATGGATCACTTATATGGTATATGAAAAGTACCTCAACAAAACTGTTTTAAACACAAGTATATAAAGTCCTGACATTTCTTTCTGAAGGTGCTATTACTCCATGCTAAACAGTGCTTAAAGATCAAACATCCTTAAGCTTAAGGTTACACCATTTAAGGAAAAAGTAGCATTCATGAGCAGTTTAAAGCCTTACCTTCTCACATACCAAGAAGAGCAAGGTTTTGCCAAATTCCTTCCCTTTGCACCCAGACTCTAACCTGGCCCCTCACCACTTTCTTTTTTTCATTCTCACTATAGAAACAATGGTAGAAGTGTGAAGCATTTTGTTGTCCAGTTCTGTTTTATTTTGAGTGTGGAGTGTTTCTGTGGTGTGAAAGGGCGCTGTTTTTGAAACAACATCTTGGATTACAGATATGTACCACTGTATCTTGGATTACAAGTATGTACCACTGTATCTGGTTCAAATAGCTTTTATTTACTGAAAACAGCTTTTTGTGACTTTTTAATTTTGAAAGGTAATGCATCACCCTCAAAATTTTCTACACAAATAATAGAACCTTAAAATCTCATACTTCATTGCTATTATAAAGATGATATACAGAAGAGTTACAGTTACCTAAGTCCCTTGCTCTCCTCCTACTTGGGTGATTTATTTATGTCTTACTTTCAATTTAAAGTTTAGGGTCTTTCTTAGGTGATATTTAAAGCAGATTGAATAACTTAGGGGCTACCAACTAGTGTTGTCTATAGACCTGAAACAGTATCAGAACAGCTTGTTAATAAGGTATAAATCTGAATCCAGAGCTACAGAATCAAAATTTGTACTTCAATAAGATCTCTAGAAAACTTACAAATATAGTTTGAAAAGCACTGGGGATGCAAGTAGTAGGTCCTAGGTTTGATTCTAGGTACCACAGGCAAACAAATGAAAATTACTGCAGTCCTAGACCAGGAAGGCCAAAGCAGGATCTTGGTCCTGAATCCTAAGCCATATAGGTTTTAGTGAAGTACAGGCATCTGCATTTGAAACAGGAGTACTATGGATTCTACCAGGGGGTCACCCAGCAATTCTACTCAAGAAGGTAAAATCTAGAGGCTCATGGTTCAGAGCCAGCCGAAGTAGAAAAGTCCACAAGACTTTGTCTCCAAAAAGACCAGCCCCCTCAAAAAAAAAACCAAAAGCGAACAAAAACACCAGCCACAAGCAGAGCTGGAGACATGGCTAAAGTGGTAGAATACCAGTTAAGGAAGCCAGCTGAGTAATGAGGCCACAAGTTCACACTTCCCCTCAAATTGAAGCCCTGTGTGTGAGTGTACATGCGTGTGAGTGTTGGACTTTCCTGTCCAGGCTGGCTTGGAACCACCATCAGATCTCAGCCTCCTGAGTAGCTAGGGTTATAGGTGTGAGCCCTAGAATGCAGCTTCAAAGCCCATTTCTTTAGAGCAGCTTCAGTATACTAAGAAATACTGCTATACAACCTTCCACAAATATGTTAAAGTGCAAATAAATTGAATCTACAAATTCATAGCCGTACTATCTTTCTCCCTTTTTCTGTTGTTGCTGGGGCTTGAACTCAGGGCCTAGGTGCTATCTCTTAGCTTTTTCAGACAAGGCAGGTACTCTACCACTTCAGCTACACACACTTTTAGTTCTGTTTTTTTTTTTGTTGGTTAATCTTGTCTCCCATGGCTGACTTCCAACCTTTGAGTTCCCAAACAGAATACAGGAATACAGGTTTCAGGATCCTGCAGACTCTTTCATAATGTTGAAGTAAAACTATAATATATGGCTACCTTTAAAAAGATATTGTAAAAAAAATTTTTTTTTTGGTCCAGTTGTGGGGCCTGATTGCTGGGCCTGGGCCCTGTCCCTCAGCTCTTCAGCTCAAGGCTAGCGCTCTACCACTTGAGCCACAGCACCACTTCCGGCTTTTTTCTTTTTGCTTATGTGGTGCTGAGGAATTGAACCCAGGGCCTCATACATGCAAGGCAAGCGCTCTACCACTGAGCCACCTTCCCAGCCCTAAAATTTTTTAAACTAATTTTTTAGGAGATGCTGGTTTTGACAGCCCGGTATACATTTACTATGTGTAAAAGTGTTAAGATTTTGTGAGGAATGAAAGGTGATCAAGGTACCACCCGCGGCCTGTGGAAGAACCTGTAATGCAGAGAGGGAAAGTCAGGCTGGGACCATAGCACATACAATTAGCCGTTTCAGGTAACTAATGGCCCGATGGGGTGGCTAATAACTGTAATCCTAACTACTCAGGAGGCTGAGCTATGAGGATCATTATTAGGGTGGAAGCCAGCCGGGGCAGGAAAGTCCTTGAGACTCTGAACTCCAATTAACCACCCAAACGCAGGAAGTGGGAGTTGTGGTTTAGTGGCAGAGAATCGGGCTTGAGTGAAAAGGGCAAGGGGCAGGTTCCTAGGCCCCATCCAATCCTCTGTCCCGGAACCAGCACAAACACGAAATAAAGAAATTCGGATGATGGATATTTTAAGTTCCAGTTGAGTCGGTGCAGAACTAAGCAGGGCAGCTTTAACAAAGCACTGAACCAGGTGGCACCGAGGCAAAGCACCGGGGCAATGTGCTGACATTCTGAGACACACACTTAAAATACCGTTTGAGAGGTGCAGGCTCCGGCCCAAAGCAGAGCCTTCCGAACGGGAACGAGACGGAGGCGGGCCCGACACAGTTAAGTTCCTAGAGGGTGTTTTCCTTTGACAAAAACAGGAACCCTCAGCTTCAGAGACCGCTGATCAAGCGAGAAGGGAGGAAAGGGAGTGAAGATCTGTTTCTGTTTCCCCCCGGGGCAGCTCAGGAGGGGGAAAACTCGCACGAAACCGGTTTCCCGCACGACTCCCCCCGCCTGAGCTCACCTTTCCCAACTACCTGGCCTCTGAAAAGCCCAGCACGGGAAACCGACGGACCCGACCCGGTCGGTGTGCCCGTCGGTTTCAGGTCCGAATCGGGACAAACAGTCCTCCCAGGGCCGAGTCTGCGGACCGCGCACGCAACGCCCCCCGCGGCCCGGGGCCTCGGGCCGCCGCTCCCGCGCTCCCCGCAGGCACACCGCCCCGCCTCCCGCGGGAAGCGCGCCCCGAGGGCCGGAGGAGCCCGAGCCGGGGCCGGGCCGGAGCCCGAGCCGCCCCGCCCGGCCTGGGAGGGGGCGCGATCGACCCGGGCCCGGCGAGCGGGGACGGCGCGCGGCGAGGCGCGGCCCCAGGCCCGCCCTCGGCCGAGGCCCGGCCGCTGACAGGCGCCGGAGGCGCGGCCCGCGTCACAGGTGTCACCGCGACCCGGCCCTGCACACCGCGGCACGGCGGCGGCTCGTCGGGGCTCGGGGCGGGGGGGGGGGGGGGCGACGCGCGCGGCAGCGCGGCCCGACACCCACCGCGACGCGGCCTCACCTCCAGCGTGGACACCGTGCTGGTGAACAGGTCCTCCCCGTCTTCCAGCTCCTCAAAGTCCGTAGGCTTTCCGTCTCCCAGCGGAGGAGGCTCCCTCTCGGCCGCCATCTTCGCTCGCCCCGACCGCGGCGCGAACTGGGCCTCGCGGACCTGTCACGTGAGCACGCACGGCCCGGCTGGCGCGCGCGACCCGCCGGCTGCCCCGCCTCCCCAGCCGACCCCTCGAGGCCACGCCCCCGTGAGGGCCCGCCCCCGGCCTCGTGACGGCGTGCGACGCCCGGCCCCGCCCCTGTGCGGCCCCGACCCGTGACAGCGCGCACCGCCCGGCCCCGCCCCCGTGCGGCCCCGCCCCCGGCCTCGTGACGGCGCGCCGCCCGGCCCCGCCCCCGTGCGGCTCCGCCCCCGGCCTCGTGACGGCGCGCGCCACCCGGCCCCGCCCCCGTGCGGCTCCGCCCCCGGCTTCGTGACGGCGCGCGCCGCCCGGCCCCGCCCCGCCCCGCGTCGGGGTCAGTGTCGGGTTCGCGCCCGCGGGCGGACCCGACGTGCAGTTACCCCGCACGTTCTCGTCGGCCCCGGGCCGCAGGACTCCGCCGGCCGGTACTGAGGCGCGGCCGTTGTCCCTCCCATGCCGCACGGCTGGCGCGCTACCGCTCGAGCCACAGCTCCGTGGCCAGCTCTTGGTGGTTAGTTGGCTTTCCTGCCCCGGCTGGTTTCGAACCGCGATCCTCGTCCTGAGTAGCCAGGACTACAGGCGTGAGCCACGGACGCCTGGCTGGGGCCGCCCGTGGGAGGACGGGCTGGGCCTGGGCGGGACGGGGCGCCCCGCTGGGGGTGCGGAGGGCCTTCATGAGCCGCCGCGGGCACCGGAGAAGACCCGGTTCTCCTCACTTCCTGCGGCCCGTGCGGAGGGGAGCACGGCCCGGATGTAGAGGGGAGGGGAGCACGGCCCGAGGCGGAGGGGAGCACGGCCCATGCGGAGGGGAGCACGGCCCGGATGTAGAGGGGAGGGGAGCACGGCCCGGATGTAGAGGGGAGCACGGTCCGAGGCGGAGGGGAGCACGGTCCGATGTGGAGGGGAGCACGGTCCGAGGCGGAGGGGAGCACGGTCCATGCGGAGGGGAGCAGGGTCCATGCGGAGGGGAGCACGGTCCATGCGGAGGGGAGCACGGCCCATGCGGAGGGGAGCACGGTCCGATGCGGAGGGGAGCACGGCCCATGCGGAGGGGAGCACGGTCCGATGTGGAGGGGAGCACGGTCCGATGCGGAGGGGAGCACGGCCCATGCGGAGGGGAGCACGGTCCGAGGCGGAGGGGAGCACGGTCCATGCGGAGGGGAGCAGGGTCCGATGCGGAGGGGAGCACGGTCCGAGGCGGAGGGGAGCACGGTCCGATGCGGAGGGGAGCACGTTCCGAGGCGGAGGGGAGCACGCCGCGATGCGGGCTTCCCTCCCAGCCCCAAGAGAGGAGCGGAGGTGGAGGGGGGAGAGGGGAAAGAGAGACAATGACAGGAAGCCCCGGCTCCTGCTCAGTTTGTCGGGAATGGACAGCTTGTCCTCAGGCGGTTCTTCTCTTTATTCTTGATTTCCACCTCTACCTACTCTGGTCTGTGTCTGTCTGTCCATCCTGGAGCTTAAACGCAGGGCCTGGGCGTTGTCCCTGAACTCCTTTGTTTCTTGAGCTCCAGCAACACCTCAGGCTTTCTGGGGGTTAATTGGAGATGAGTCTCACAAACTCTTACCCTGACTACTTCAGATCTCAGCTCCCCAAGTATGGAGGATTGCAGGTGAGCCCCATTTATCTTTCTTGGTGGCATGTAAATTAGTGGAAGCATGGGTTCTGCTGCTTATAGTTGGGTCGCACAGGAAAAGTGGATTGGGAGCTACTGGTGCACCCCTGTAATCCTAGCACTTGGGAGCTGAGGCTGGAGGCTCACATTGGTGACCAGCCTGGGCTACAGAGAGCGGCTCTGTTTTAACAGCCAATCAGTCAATCAATCAAACTAAAGGATTTATGGTTCATCTTCTGACCTCAGGAGGACCAGGGCTAGTGTGAAAGCTTCATTAAGGCCGGGTGCCGATGGCTCACTCCTGTAATCTCTGAGGATCGTGGTTCAAAGCCAGCCCAGGCAGGAAAGTCTGTGAGACTCTTATCTCCAATAAACCACTAGAAAACCGGAAGTGGCACTGTGACTCAAGCTGTAGGGGCTCACCTTGAGCTGAAGAGCCAGGGACAGCATCCAAGTCCAGAGTTCAAGCCCCACACCGACAAAAAAAAAAAAAAGTAGGGATATAAGGCCCTATTGCTCTCCCCTCCCTAGAAATGACATTTCTTGGTAGATAATTGGATCAAATCAAGTTTAGGTAGTTTTTAGGATGGTCATGATGAAGGGACAAACAGACTAAAGAATGTGTATGTAGTGTGCTGTCCCTGTCCTAGAGCTTGAACTGAGCCTGGACACTGCCCCTGAGCTTTTGTGCTCAAGAAGGAGGAATCTCTCAAAGGAGGAATTTTCCCCCCAAGCCATTGAAAGTGATGGGATAAGAATGACACTTGGCACTCAAAACACGATGTCCTGTTGGTGAGTGACACACGGCTGTGTGTGTGGCACACCCCTGTAAGTCTGAACACGAGACACACAGGGAGCCCTTGGAGTCCCAGTTTAAGCAATATAGAAATAAGAGGCGCAGGGAAATGGGAGGGGAGGAGGAGGAAAGGGAATATGACACATTACTCAGGAAGTTTGGGGGAAGTTTCTGTGAAGAATTTGCTGATTTAAGGGCAAAGATGAGGTCAGGCGTGGATGGGAAAGTAAGTGGGCAGTAAGGGAAAACAAACAGGTCAGGGAAGCTAGAGAGAGACCTTTTTTTTAACTAGATCCTGGTGAGTGAGCTGACACACAGGACGGGGGCTTTGAACTCATTATGATCTTCTCTGCCATTATATTGGGAAAATAATCATTTGGTTGCTTACATGAGTGATTATGATTAAGTGAAAATGTTTAAACCTCTTATGGGCAGGTAATGAAGTGTTTTTCCATTTGTTAAAAAAGAGGAAAAGAGAGGTAGAAATCAGGCCATCATAAGTACAGATAAACTATCATTAGGCGAAAAAGGCTCACGAAGCCTTAGTGGGCTCTTGCTAATGGCTGGTACCGAGTGACTCTGATGGTTACAGAGTCCTGCAGATGACATCCTTTCATTAGAAGTGTTGCTTCAGCGTTCTAAGGGGGTCATGAAGAGCACTTCCACACTTGAAAGAATAAACCAACAGGAAAACTCAGCCTTTCCCTTCTCATCCCTGGGCCTCTTTTCTCCCCTGGCCAACTGTCTCTGAAAACAAGAATGTGACTACCTGGGAATCACCTTTCCTCCCTTCCCCCTGCCTGCCCAGAAGTGAGTGCCTACAGATCTGTTGCTAGCCACGCTGGCTTCACAGGCTTAAGACTCCTCTCCCCGCCTCCCCAGCCACCCAGGGAGCCACCGGCAGAAGCCCTCCATACTTGGTTTAATGCTCTGCTGTCTCCAATATGAAGTTAATGATTTCACATAGCCTCAATTTTAATTTGTTCCCAGGACTTGGGCTTGAACTTAGGGCCTTATGTTCTTGCTTCACTTTTTCATTCAAGTCTAATGATTCACTGCTTGGAACCACAGCTCCACTTTTGGCTTTTGCTGGTTAATTGGAGATAAGGTTCTCATGGACTTTCCTGTCCAGGCTAGCTTTAAACCACAATCCTCAAGATGGCAGCTTCTTGAGTAGCTAGGATCGCAGGTGTGAATCATGAGCACCTGGCCTGTGTTTTCGTTTTATGGCGGCCCCTGGAAATTATGAAGCTGTGCAGACTCTTATCCTGCCAGTTAGGATGTTGGTAGATAGAGGACAGAAGGATTAGGTGAGAATATGCCTGACACAAACACAGAATAGCTGTGTTTCATGCCATTACTTTTCCCAGGAGAATTGCCTAAGTGACATTGTCGTCTTCAGCAATGGAGAAGATGAAAGTCGGGGAGGGTAGAAGGTATGTATTAGTCTTTTTTGTTCCATCATGCATCCTTTGAAAATAGCTGTCTCATCAGTCCTAGTTGTATCCCTAACACTTAATTGGCTTCATGACTTAATGAGGTAGTGAGTAGCTAGGATTACCCTAGTAACTTGATCTTTGGGCTCTTTCAAAATTCGTGTTCTTGCCTGTGTATAAGCCTCGGGTCTTGTGACTTAGATGGATACACATTAACTTCCTCTAACCTTCTTATCTAGGTCTTGCGCTGTGCACAGTAGTACTTGTCCAGCCTTTCTGTCAGGCTTCTGGCTATCCCCCTCCTACCCCCACTGTCATTTCCTCTCCCAGCCCTCGCTGGGCCAGCCTTCAGCTCATTCAGCTGATTCTCTAACACAGGGGATTGAACACAGGGCTCTATCCTCAGTTCCTCTTCCAGTTTCTATACCTCTGTCTGTCTTCACATCATGAATTCACATGGTAAATGTCTTGAGGGCAAGGGCCCTAAATTTTACATATTATAGCCTGTGTATGTGCCTAACATATCATCTTAAGTGAACAGTATGGCAATGCAATTATTATTTATTTTTGTTGGTCGTAGGGGCTGAACTCTGGGCCTGGGCCTGTCCCTCAGCTCTTCAGCTCAAGGCTACTGCCCTACCACTTGAGCCACAGCACCACTTTCTGCTTTTTCTGCTTATGTGGTGTTGAGGAATCAAACCCAGAGCCTCATGCATGCGAAGCAAGCACTCTACCACTGAGCTACCTTCCCAGCCCCTATTTTTGATGATTTCTACATTTCTGGCTGTCAAAACTCTTTACTAGGTATGGTGGTACAAGCCTATGATCCAAGTTCTTGGGAGACTGGGGCAGACAGGAAAATCACATGTTTGAAACCACCCTGAGCTACAAAATAACCCATGCTGCTGGGCGCTGGTGGCTCACGCCTGTAATCCTAGCTACTCAGGAGGCTGAGATCTGAGGAACCCAGTTCAAAGCCAGCCCAGGCAGGAAAGGCTGTAAGATTCATCAGAAAACTGGAAGTGACACTGTGGCTCAAGTGGTAGAGCACTAGCCTTGAGCTGAAGAGCTGAGGGACAGCACCCAGGCCCAGAGTTCAAACCCCATGATTGACCAAAAAAAAAAAAAATCCATGCTGGCACCAGTGGTTCAAGGCTGTAATGCTAGCATCAGTTGGCTGTACAAGGGCACTATATTTAACGTATCTGTTTATGGCTACAGTGTATCTTGGTTAGAATCACCCTTTCCATCCTTCTCACTCCCATCCCATCCCAATTCCCCCAAACAGTTTCATTAAGTTCCCTTGTTCCATTTTCACATGTGTATTCAGCCTTTTCCTCCTTCACTGGCCCACCCTCTCCCACTAATACCCCCACCAGTCAAGACCGGTTCCAACTTTCTCATTTCCTTTTGTTATACTGCCTCTGAAAATTGTTCAAAAGGATTTCAGTCTGGTACCTCACACCTAAGAATAACCAAATACCATGTTTTAATTATTATATATATTATGTATGACATACAATATATATACTATAATATATAAAAGATATATTATGATATAATATATAATATGCAAATATGTAAATGTATCATACATAGTATATTTACGTTTGTGTATATGATCCTGGATATATTTACATATATGTTTGTATTTTAGGTCTAATATCCACATATAAGAGAGAACATGCAGCCGGGTGCTGGTGATTCACGCCTGTAATCCTAGCTACTAAGGAGGCTGAGATCTGAGGATCACAGTTCAAAGCCAGTCCAGGCAGGAAAGTCGGTGATCTCTGATTAATCACCAGAAAACCAGATGTGGCACTGTGGCTCAGGTGGCAGAGTACTTGTCTTGAACTGAAGAGCTGAGAGACAGTGCTCAGACCCAGAGTTCAAACCCCATGACTGACAAAAAAAAAAATAAAAAGAACATGAAAGTTTGTCCGAAGCCTGGCTTAATTTTCCAGATGTATGGCTGCATAATACTCTGTGTGTGTGTGTGTGTGTGTGTGTGTGTGTGTGTGTGTGTGTGTGTGTGTGTGTGTGTGTGTCTAAATGTCCCTTGTGTCCTTGATACGTCCATCAGCTGTAGACTGTAGAGCATCTGAGTTGGGTCAATGGCTTGCTGCTGTGACTAAAGCTACAAGAGTGTGCAGGTGCAAACTATTTTCAAGTAATGCCACACTTCTAGAAACGGAGGGTCAGCATGTCAGCAGTCATCTGAAAGGTGAAAGGGAGCCACAATCAACCCTTAATACTCCATTAACTCTCTTAGTTTCACACGGGCTTCACAATTACCTAAAAACTCGAAATGTTTATATATAGAAAACTGGTTCTTACCCTGGTTAAAAAAATAATATAATGACTTGTTGTACTTGGGGTTGGGATACAATCTCAAAATGAATCTTTAGCTTGCCAGAAAAGGCCTGTCTCCGGTGTTCGCAGTGCCAGTGTCTCTGCTTGGGGGGAAAGACTTCTCCGAGCGGTGGGCAGTGATGCTGTGCTCCTTGACAAAAGAATGAAGCATGCTTATTACCAGAGTTCTGCTCGATCTTTCATGAACTTTCCTTGTCTCCAAGGCAGAAATTCATGCAATTGTTCACCCCTCTCCACTCTCCCCAAAGCAGCTGGGAAGGTCCACACAAACCCAGTGGACCGTCAAGTTTGTCAACAGCAGGAATCCGTCTGTAGAGCAAGCTACACAATGTCACTAGAGTCTAAGCTGTGGTAAATTTGCGTGTTGACTGAGGTTAAGTGGAAGTGTTTCTAGCTGCCATTCACATATCATCATCTCAGAGCAGTCCGCCCTCACTGGCTAGGCTACAGGACAGTAGAGGCCTTCCTGGGTGAGAGGATACAAGTTGAGGATGAGCAGATCGGACCTTAGTGGATGGAGGGAAACTTCCCAGAAGGCAGGGCCTCACTTACATTCTTTTACTTACAAAGCACGGGAGCACCAGGGAGAATAGAATTAGGGTAGTAACACTTTCCAAAGAACTTGTTTATGTAACGTGTGAGCTCCAAGTGCCAAGATGAAATAATCTGGTTTAGATAAAGGACTAATGGATTTGCATTAACAGTGGGAAACAAAGCCTCTGTCCCCCTTGTGCAGGTACTGGGGCTCATAGGCCTGGGTGCTGTCACAGCTTTTTTGCTCACCGCTGGTGTCTGTCACAGCTTCACTTCTGGATTTTTAGTGGTTAATTGAAGAAAAGAGTCTTACAGATTTCCTGCCTGGGTTAGCTTTGCACTGCAATCCTCAGATCTCAGCCTTCTGAGTAGCTAGGATTACAGGCATAGGCCATTGGCACCTGCGATCTAAAGCAAAAAGTTTCTTGGTTAGTTGTGGGGCCTGAACTAAGGGCCTGGGTGCTGTCCCACTTTGAGCCACAGCTCTACTTATGGGTGTGTGTGTGTGTGTGTATGTGTGTGTGTGTCATGGGGCTTGAACTTTGGGCTTGGGTGCTGTCCTTCAGCTCTTCAGCTCAAGGTGAGTGCTCTACCACTTGAACCACAGTACCACTTCCAGTTTTCTGAGCTGTTTATTGGAGGGAGATAAGAGTCTCACGGACTTTCCTGCCCAGGCTGGCTTTGAACCATGATCCTCAGATATTGGCCTCCTGAGTAGCTAGGATTACAGGCATGAGCCACCAGCGCCCAGCTCTGGGTTATTTTTGAGTGGTTAATTAGAAATAAGAGTCTCTATTTGACAAAGGCGCCAAAGACATACAATGGAAGAAACACAGCCTCTTCAACCACTGGTGCTGGGAAAACTGGGAGGTCACATGCAGAAGACTAAAAGTGGATCCCGGCCTATCACCATGCACCAACATCAACTCAAAATGGATTAAAGACCTTTACACTAAACCTGAATCTCTGAAACTACTGCAGGACAGAGTAAGAGAGACACTTGAACTTATAGGCACAGGCAGGAACTTCCAGAAAAGAGTCCCAGGGTCACAACAAATTGGAGAGAGACTCGACAAATGGGACTACCTTAAAATAAAAAGCTGCACAGCTAAAGCTATCGCAACCAAGCTAGAAAGACAACCAACTAATTGGGAAAAAATATTTACCAGCAATATATCAGACAAGGGGTTAATATCCATCCTATACAGGGAACTCAAGAATCTAATCCCTCCCAAACCTAACAAACCAATTACTAAATGGGCAAGGGAACTAAAGAGAGACTTCTCAGAAGAAGAAATAAAAATGGCAAAGAAACACATGAGGAAATGTTCACCATTCCTGGTTCTGAAGGAAATGCAAATAAAGACAACCCTGAGATACCACCTTACCCCAGTCAGAATGGCCCACATCCTCAAGTCAGCCAACGACAAATGCTGGAGGGGATGCAGAGAAAGAGGAACCCTATTACACTGCTGGTGGGAATGTACACTTATACAACCACTTTGGAAAGCAGTCTGGAGGGTCCTCAGAAAGCTAAATATTGACCTCCCTTATGACCCAGTCATACCACTTCTAGGCATCTATCCTGAACAACAGGAAGCAGTATACAAGGACACATGCACCTCCATGTTCATTGCAGCACTGTTCGCAATAGCTAGGATATGGAAACAACCCAGATGTCCTACTACAGATGAAATGATCCAAAAATTGTGGTATCTATACACAATGGAATATTATGCAGCCATTAGAAGTGACAAAATAATGGTATTTGCAGGGAAATGGATGGAGCTAGAAGAAACCATGTTGAGTGAGGTAAGCCAAGAGCAAAGAGACAAACGGTACATGGTCTCCCTGATAAGTGGATGTTAAATCCAAAATGTTAGGCGATACGACAAAATTAACAGGACTTAAGAAACAAAGGACTTCCACTCATCTGGTTGAATTACTACTAAATAAACCCATGCTGCTGATCACATGTATGGTATATATGTGTACACCAAAGGGGAACCAGGAAGACGACACAGAACTAGAGGGAATCGGAAAAACATACACCAGCGGGACCCATCAGCTGCACTGGACACTGACCAAAATGAACTAAGCAACTCAATGGCAGCGATGGGAGGGAGAGAACAAGTGGGAAAGAGGGAACAGCTGATGCTATGCAAAACAAAAGAAATGTACATATCACCCAAAGTGGAAGAAATAACTATTGCAAAGCTCATAGAACTCATAAACGTTATAGATCGTGATAGACAATTTGCTCCAGGAAAGTTAGAATGTGTGTGTGACTTCAACGAAGCATCACTATCCCACAACACTGTGAAATTTGGGAAATTATGTAACCACTTAATCACAATAAAAAATTTGGAAAAAAAAAAGAAAAGTCTCATGAGGACTTTCCTAGCTGGCTTTGAATCGCAATCCTCAGATCTCAACCACATGAGTAGCTAGGATTACAGGCGTGGACCACCGGTGCCAAGCTAAAATTTTAAGTTTATAATGGCAAGAAACCACTTTACTTCCCATTTATTTTTTCTTTCATATAGTAATTTGACTTTATCAAATATCATATTTTTTGAAGCCACATAATACAATCTTCTTCTTCTATTATTATTATTATCATCATCATCATCATCATCATCATTATCATTATTATTTTGTGCTGGTACTGGGGCTTGAACTCTGGGCCTTATTACTCTCACTTGGCTTTTTTGCTCAAGGCTGGGGCTCTACCACTTGAATTATGCTTCTAGTCCAGCATTTCTCTGGTTATTTGGAGATAAGTATCTCTCAGATTGATCTTCTAGAGCTGGCCTTGAACTGTGGTCCTCAGATCTCAGCTTCCTGAGTAGCTAGGATTATAGGCATGAGCGACTGGTATGTGGCCTACTTCCACATGGAATATTATTATTATTATTATTAATCAGTCATGGGCCTGAACTCTGGGCCTGGGCGCTGTCCCTCAGCTGTTCAGCTCAAGGCTAGCGCTCTACCACTTGAGCCATAGTGCCACTTCTGGCTTTTTTTTCCCCTGCTTATGTGGTGCTAAGGAATTGAATCCAGGGCCTCATGCATGAAAGGCAGGCACTCTACCATTGAGCCACCTTCCCAAGTCCCTGGAATATTATTTTTAAGTCTCTAAAGAAAAACCAAACATTAAGGTAAACACCGTTGATGAAATATTAGCAAACTATTCTGCTTGCTTTGAAATGATCCACATACCGAATCCAAGAGAACTTGGTGCTAGAGAAACAGCTGCGCCACTTCCTCTCTGAATAGCTGAAATCAGCTAAAAAGAGGATCTTTTCTGGGTGCTACGGTGCTGAGTAGCTAACCACATACTGCGTACTTGATGGCTTGGTCTTCTCTGGAACAGTGATAGAAAGTAACCTGTCATCATTTCTCTTGAATGGTTTTCCCTAAAAACCATGCAGCTGCATCCTCCTTTAATCCAAGCCCCTGCTCTCTGGGGATTCCCAGGCCTTCCACAAGGTCTTACTAAGTAACCCAGGCAAGCCTCAAACTCACAGCCTTCTTTCTGTCTCCATCTCCTGAGTGCTGGGATTAGAGTCCTGAGTCCAATAACTGCCTCATCTTTCCCTTTAATAGGTACTGCCTCTGAGGCAGTATACCACAGAATATTAGACATTCTTCTTTAAAATTTCTCAGCTTCGTGTGTGTGTATGTGTGTGTGTGTGTGTGTGTGTGTGTGTGTGTGTACGCTGGCTGCCACTAAAGCCTGAATCCAGTCCTTTGCGCATCAAGATGTTTGTCCTCCCCAGAAGCAAGCCATCTAAGATGACTAAATCCTTACTGCTGATCTCTGAGGAATTTGATTCTTTGAGTCTG